ACTCCCACGAGCGTCGTCGCTGACGCATCATGGGAATTAATTACAAAGCTAACCAGATGATCTCGTGAACTCGTGCGAGGAAAATCCATTAAACCGTCGAACATGCCTCTGCGTTACTTGCCCGCGCGTGCCTTTCTTACACAGACCGGATATTCTTTTTCGTTTTTCCCTCTGGTACGGTATTACGAATTTATTTTTGGGAGTGCCGTAAGACGCGCTCTCGGTTTTTTTCTCTTTTAATTTTTTTTTTCTTGGTGGATAAAATGTTGTCTATTTTCATAAGTTTATCGAATGACATTAATGATTTTTAGATTCGAACGTCTCCATTCGCTTTCTGCAAGTCTTTTGCGTTTCTCTTCCTCCGGCATCGCGCCTCCGTCTACTGCACGACGAAGACGTGTATCAGCAGCTTTGACTATTCCACCTAAAACTATTCGCGTAGGCGCCGTGTCGCTCGAATCTCGAAAGTTGAACGACCGGCCGAGATGATGTCCAAGGTCCCGCGCGCGAAAGTATCCCTTTCGGTGGAATGCCGGACGAACGAATCGAAGGCGTTTAACAATGCCGGACGCACGGTTGTGCAACTTCTTCAGCCTCTTCTTCTTCTACCGCTCGCGGAGAAACAACAGAGATTGCGCGAGATCTGCCAAAGACGCGCTCTTCTTTTTATTGATTACGTAAAGGGACACCGGGCGGGTCGTGGGTGGACCGAACACAATGGCCGTACGGAAAATCCTTTGTGCGACTCGAGCCTCGTAAACGGCTGTCGCACCGCACAAAGTGCAAGGCGAGCCGGACCATTGGGATGAACGTACGCAGTCAGGGCGACGGTACGAAAACTCTCTATGAGTATATCTGTACGATGTACAGGTTGCTCGTCATTCCCGATTAGCCCGAACGTTGGAACTGGAGAAGTGGTACATGTACGTATCCCGTTAGATGCACCGTGATAAAAGGAGAGAAAGACTTTCCTGCCGTGTCTTCTCTGGATCTATACTGATTGAGATATTCATAGCTCGCCTTTGCGGTTCTTACATTCTACCGAGATTAAGATGTAGGCTGGATAATTTCTCATGGGCTTCGCGTCTCGCTCCTAAATCCCATAATCGCGTCGCATCGGAGCTACACCGACAGAATTGATATTGTGAAATTTGCCGTAATTTGTGCAAAATATAACCACCTTCGAATATACTCTGACTTTAGTGCAAATCACTATCTAGCGTAATAACATTTAAATATTGCAAGTTTTACTATGTAAAATATTAATAGTACACTGCAATGCATGTCGTAAAAGACAGACCAATGAAAACAACTGTCACGCCGAGTGTCGTATTCTAATTTTTTTGTTGAGCGGCCCGAAAGCAGCATTTCCCGGCCGTCATTCGGTCAATAACATGCCGATTTTAACCTTGTTCGACAAAAACAAGCGTGACATTAGCAAGCTTATAGCGCGTATTCATCAATGTACGTCCTATGGATTTGCCAATACTTTCGCCGCCTCGAGTTGTAAACTACTAATTGTTCAACCTTGGCAGAAAGTACGATTATTTACACACGAAATTTCGAGGATACGCATCGATGAGCTATCCATGGTAATATCACTGATGTAACAAAAGTTTAATAAATATTTTCCTATCTCGGATATATTCCACAATTACCATGTTTTCGAGTAAGTTATACCGTAAATATGACGTATTTTATTACAGCTATTCTCTCGAAGTAAAGAAAGTGCTTTTATTAGATGTTACGTTATACTCATAAGTAATTTAAAAGAGAAAACCAGACTAGAAACGACATTTTAATCTTGAAAAATATTTGAATTATACAAATATTTTACTTGACTGATTCTTAAAAAGATTAAAAACTGTTGTTTCCAATGAAATAAAAACTTATCATGGTAGTAAAAAAGGCCGCTTAAGCGGCGAGAAAAAAACTACGTATAAACGCGTCGACAATTACCGGAGTAGCAGTTTCGCTTGAGCTTTGGATTTTGCAATTTGAATTTATTTGCAGCGGCAGATAATTCTTTTCCATAAAAACGATGAGCGTGCTCTACTTGATGTATTGTCTTACTATTTTGAGTAAGCTGACAAAGATATTTAAATTATTCTGATTAACTTGACATCTTACTTTTCTGATTGTCAGATAGCAGATTACTATTTTCGAATGGCGATCCGTTCATGGGGTTCAACGTGAAACAGGCTGAAGCTCATGAGTTCGATTTCGTTGTTTCAATCAGTATAAAAAATTATGAAGAAAGTTTGACGTTCGAAGAAGAAAATCACATTTGTGGTGGAGCGCTAATAACTACAGCACTTGTTTTAACATCAGCACATTGTATATGTGAAAGAATTGTCCAACTTGAGGATTATACTGGTCAAAATAGGGCACGATTTACGAAATCCAGAAGCTAACTTCAGTATTGCGTCATGGAAAAGCTTAAAAAAGTGTTGTTGCTCTTTGTTCAGACGTGGGGACGTGTGCAATGACATAGCTGTGATAAAAGTAAGCTACAGTCTTCTTATAAATCTTGACTATCTGATTATTAAATACATTAAAATATCGTTCGATAGCTAACGGAAGACATATGTTCTAAAATAAGTAGAAACATAGTGTTACCAATCTTAAAATATTCACCGATGGAGCAACTATACAACCAAAATGCCTCATCTGCAGGCTGGGGTGACGTAACGTCTAAATTAAAACCACGATACATGCAGAAAGTAACATTGACAACAATAAGTATGGAAGAGTGTCTGAGAAATGTTAACGATGTGCCAAGAGTCACGGATTCAGATACAGAGTTACGGACTAAATATATTCTGGAAAATAATACTCTTTGTAGTAATGGCAATCGGGTACCCGGAGTAATACCGTACACAGTACTCGGAAAAGTTAGTCATAGATCATTTTAGTAACACTGAAATTACGAAAGGGAATGAACACGGTTAAATACTCCTATATGTTACTTTCAGGGCGACAGCGGCAGTCCTCTTGTCATCGAGAACAATCAGATAATTGCAGTTAACCGAGGTAGTTTTCCACCGGAAGGTCCTAAATACATTGCGTATGAGCAATCATTGCATGTTGCTCTTTGGTCTCATCGAAAATTTATTAAAGTCAAATAACAGATGCAAGAAGGATGGGATGTTTCGGAAGAAAGTAAAGTTGAAAGGATATCTATTACTTGGCATTAATCATTATTTATTAATTTAAAATGGAATTAATATACGTGACTCATCAATATGATAAAGATGATCGTATAATTTGCTTTAAAATTGAACTGACTTGGAGCCGTGTTCTCGTGATAGGACGACAGCAAGTTTGGTTTTTTTTTTTTTTTTTTTTTTTTTTTTTATTGAGCTTTCTCAACTCCTTTTGGAGTTATTTAGCTATAAGTTTACATTGTTTTTTGATCTGTACAAGTAGGATACATTGTAGATATAGATGAAAGTTTTGCGGTGGAAAGATTTTACATATTATACATGTAGGTTACAATTTTTGAGAAACGTATACAATATATTACAAACTTCTGTTTTGGGATCATAGATTAGACAGCGGATATTCAGAGGTAGTTGAAGCCTGTGTTTTTTTAGTTGGTTAACAAGTTTTTTCCTTTGATTGTCAAGTAATGGGCATTGCCACACAATGTGGTCAATGTCTTGCAGATCGTGTCCGCATGAGCAACAGGCGGAGGAAGCCAAGTTTACTCGTGCTAAAGAGGCAGCTAAATTATAATGGTTAGCTCTCAGGCGATTTATTGTGACGATGGTGTCGCGGTTTAGATTCTTTTTGTGGAACCATGGTTGATTTTCCTCTGTGCCAAAGTAGTCAAAGTATTCTCTGCCTTTGTGCGTACTAAGTGATATATTTCTAATCTTGGTATTTTCAGATGCTTCTGTTTTGAATATCTGACGCAAGTCGGAGTAGGGAATATGAGCGTATTTTGAGTGTGGTTTGCTAGTTGCATTTTTCGCTGCCTCGTCTGCTGATTCATTCCCACAGATTCCAATGTGAGAGGGGATCCATATAAGCTGAACAGTGCTTCCGTTTGGGGAAGATTCTTTGAATCCATAAACTTTCTTTTTGATTTGCAGGAGGTAATTGTTTGTTTTAATGTCAAATATTGTGGAATTTAGTTTATGTAGAACGCTTAGGGAATCTGTGAAAACGAGAATGTTTCTGTTTGTATTTTCGAGCGCAAGATCGAGTGCATCGTTTAGGGCAATAGATTCAGCTGTGAATATGGAGGCTAGTTCGCAAACGCTGCGGTCAATCGTGAATTGCAATGCCGGGCATATACATGCTGTGCCAACCGACTGGGCTCCTGTTACTTTGCTACCGTCTGTGTAGACGGCTATAGCGTTGTTTTTTGTTACATAATTTTCTATGACACGATTTGGAAAATGATTAATTTTTACAGTTTTTCCAAGTTCTAGATTTACATTTATGCTTTCGATTAGTGTATCGTAATTGTGCATGTAAATGTTGAATTTTTTGTCAGTTTTAATATGTTTTCTGAGAGGGATCACAATGCTAATACCTTTGGCTAGAAGGCTCTTTCTTTTATGTTTGTTGAATTTTGCATGAAATCGGATGATTGATTTAGTTACAGGTAGGCTTTTGTTGGTAATCACTTTTGACAGATATGTTGAGCACAAGTATACTCCCCTGTCGTACAGATATGGAAGTTTTGATTCTTGTGTTAGGACGTTGGTCGGGGTGGAGATCCTGTAGCCAAATGCATATCTTATGGCCAAGTATTGTATTCGTTCGAGGCTTTCCAATTGTGACTTTCTACGAGGAAAATATACAAAGTTGGCGTAGTCTACTATCGGTCGTATGTAGCTTTTGTAGAGCGTTATCAAAGTACTTGGATCTGCACCCCACCAGGTTCCTCTCAGGAATTTCAGTATATTCATTACACGTAGACATTTTTTTTTAACATTTGAAATATGTTCTTTGAAAGACAGTGTGTAGTCTAGCGTTAGACCTAGGTAGCGAGCGCACGCTGTAGACTTTATGTGTGAGTTATCAATCTTAATTTCGCTTTCGCCAGGAAGGATACCCAACTTGTTAAAGTGAATAAAGGTTGTCTTTTCAGGGGAGAGTTCAAGTCCAATATTATCTAGATTTGTTTTTATAATTTGTACAAATTTTTCGGTGGTGGATAGACCTGCTTCTGCGGATTTTTTTTTGACAATAATGGCTAGGTCGTCTGCAAATTTTGAAATAACCGCGCCTTTGGGTAAATTTTTGAGGGCCAGGCTTATATAAATAATAAATAATAAAGGACTCAACACTCCTCCTTGAGGGACGCCTTTGTATACATATCTAAATTCGTTGCCGAGAGTGTCTGCATAAATTATTCTTTCGTACATAAGAAATTTGACAAATTCAATTAGATTCGAGGGACAGTTCAGGTCTGCTAAGACTTGTAAAAGAATTTCGCAATTTACGTTGTCGAAAGCTGATTTAATGTCCAAGAAAACTGCAAACACGTGTTGTTTTTCTTTAAAACCTTCCTCGATGATGAGTTTTAAATTCGCGAGGTTGTCAGTACACGATTGGCCCTTCCGGAATCCGGATTGGGCAGTTGGCAAAAGGTCATTACTTTCAAGATACCACTGTAGTCGATTTTTTATGAGGGTTTCGAACAGTTTACACGTACAGGAGGAGAGGGCTATTGGTCTGTAATTGGTTCCGTCAGATTTTTTAATGAAGTGAATGTATTGTTTTTTCCATTCGTTAGGATAGTCGTTAGATGCGTACATCTCATTAAATATGTCTAGGAGTATCAGTTTGTAATTAGTTGGTACAGTTTGGAGAATTTCGTAATCGATGCCATCCATGCCAGGGGAGGAATTATTTTTTTTCGGGTCGAGGGCCGCATTAAACTCGGAATACTGAAACGATTTACTTAGAAATTCGTTGATATTGCTGGGTGGGTGAAAATCTGGGTTAATGGGGGCCCATGGAGGAGCGACTTTGTTTAAGGCTTCTTTTATTTTTTTTTCCGCGTCAAAGTTAAAATCATTATGACGAATTTTTGTCCATTTATTTTTAAGAACTTTAATTTTGTTCCAAACATATGATTTGTTAGTCGTGAGGTTGAGTGTTTTAACAAAAAGTTTGAAGCTCTCTCTTTTTTTTGATTTGAGGGTCTTTTTGGTTATCGTGACTTGTTTTTTATAATTTATGTAGTCTTTCGTTTTATGTGTAAATTGCCATTTTTTATGAGCGGCTTTACGTAACCGTAGGGCTTTGTCGCATTCTGCGTCCCACCATGTTACCGGGTTTTTTATTTTACGATGTGGTTTTGGTAATTTTCTTTTAGGCGTGTTCAATTTTATAGTATTTGTGATTACTTTCATAAAAATTTGGTATTTTTCGCTAGGCAATGCATCACAGAATTCAGGTTCGTAAAATGTGGAGAAATTTTCTTTGAGCATTTCTTGTACTTTCGGCCAGCAGGTTCGGATAGAATTTACTTTGAAAGATTTTTTCTCGTAGGCACTTTTAGTTGCGTCTATATTTACAATGACGGGGAAATGATCAGAGCCGCGTGAATCATCGAGAACGGTGGTATCAATAGTATGAGCTATATTACATGAAGAAAAAATTAGGTCTATGTTAGATTTATTACCATTTGAAGGATTTATACGTGTTTGCGTTTTCGTGTTAAGAATTAAAAGATCTTTTTTATCGATCGCACTGTATAATTTTTTACCATGAGAGTCTTCTCCAGAACAGTTCCATTGTCGGTGGTGAGCGTTGAAGTCGCCGACGAGAAGAGAGTAGCTGTTGTTTTCTACGTTGTTTACGACTGCGTCCCAATCCTCTTGAAGTAGAGTGTTCCTGGGGGGTCTGTAGCAGGCAATGATGTCTAATTGCGGAGTGACATTGGTTATTTTAACGCCACAGATTTCGATTTTACCGTTCGCATCATTAAGAGGATTTAGTTCAATCGCGTTAAGTCCACTTCTTAGGGCGATTAAGATTCCGCCGCCAGCAGTTTCCGTTCTGTCTTTCCTTAATATTTGAAACCCCGGTATGTTGAAATTTTGATAGTCTGTAGTGAGCCACGTTTCGACACAGATAAAGATATCAATATTTACGAGAAGAAGGGGAAGTTCTTCAATACGTTTTAGAATGCTACGTGCATTCCAAAACGCGATTTTTAGTTGTTTTTTACTTGTCGTTTTTATTTATCTTAATAGTCCGACTCTTGAGGTGAGTCTGTAAGTTCTTCAGATGGTAGTGACAATTTTTTCTTTATGCGCGTTAGCCTAGATTTGAGATTACTGTTTGAGAGCTGAGGATAGATCATGTCAATTGTATCTATGAGTCCTTTTATATCATGAGTGAATTCTTTTGCGATGTTATTAATTTTAGGCTGGCCACGACATTTTTCAAGGAACAATTTCATTTGGTCAAAGTTAATAATTAGCTCTTGTCCGTCCAAAGCTTCTTTGGCTGGAGCTAATGCTGTTTCAATACTGACCGTTTCGTTGCTCTTTTTAGTTTTTTTGTGCTCGGGTTTTTTGAAAGTATTCTGGGCCGCAATTTCTTGAAGAGTTGGCATAGAATTTTCTGGAGGAGTTGTTTGAGTGCCTGAAGTTGCGTCGGAGGTAATAGAGGAAGGTGGGGGCCGCTTCTGACCACGTATTTGATTTTCTATGTCCATTTGCTGCTCGCTATGAGAATCGTGAAGGATATGTTGATTTTGAGCTAGCTCGGCGTTTTCTTGATTTCTAGCGTTGTTGATGGTTGTGTTGTTAGCTTGTGTTAGTGAGGCATGCGGGCATACTTTAGCTATGTGGCCGTACTGTTTACAAACAAAGCAGTGGGCTGATTCGGTGCTTAGATATACCCAGTATTGAGTTTCTTCATAGGTGATTTGTAGCGATTGTGGTAGCAGGTGCTCATCTTCCTCTTTGATGTATACTTGGCGTCTGAAAGAGAGAATATGTGATCGTCCTGGTTTATTTAGTCCTGCTCTGATGTTGTTCATTTGGGATACTATTGTAATGCCTTTATTTTTTAAGGCTTCAATGAAAACTTCGTTCGGTATTACTGGGCAAGCATTGGATAGGACCACCCTTTTGTTCTTTTCTAGTAGTGGGCGAATTTTGAGGGTAAAATCTTTGACTTGGACCATTTTGTTAGTTAGCTTTTCAACAAGAGCGTTATCACTTAAGTAGGTGCACACACGATTTCCAGAGATCTTTGAGATGTATTTAATGTAGGAGGCGTCTATAAGGGCTTCGAGACCGTCGATGTAGTCTTCTATGGTACAGCCTTCAATGGAATCTATAACAATAGCTTGGTCTTTTTTTGGCATTATTGAACTGGAAGTGACCTTTGCGTAGGATTGATGAACTTGGGTTTTACTAGCACTTTGGGTTTCTTGGTTCGAGGGCTCACCGCTTTGGGTGGCCATTTTCGGTTTTGGCTGCAACCGCAGTCAAGAACCAGAAAAGAATTTCACAGCGGTAAACTATTCGCGGACTTGTTCTGAGTTAGCTTACTGTTCCAGCAGAGGTGGAGAATGTTTATGTTTACATCGGAAAACACGTCTGCTCGCTACGGCTGCTCGAACGCGACTCAGCAAGTTTGGTTAACGGCACTTGCAATAAAGGATGATGTTTAAGATTGATTTCATTACAAAATCGCAATGTCTTTATTCATGTAATGTAATGTAATGTAAGGTAATGTGACAACTATTTTTATTAAAAATATATTTCTATGGAATGGACACTAAATCGGCAACTAAATTAAAATGTTATAATTGACCTATCATATGTAGTTCCCTTATTAGCCATTCACCGCATTTTTATATGCAAGGTTGAGACTGAGATTTTCTTAAATAGTAATAAGGTATTTATTCCGATTTTCTCAAGAATAGAACGATTATCTATACGTAGGTCCTGCAAAGTGCCAAATTAGTAATATATGCGGACACCACTGCGTACGTGCTACGAACTTCAGTCCAGCATCAGTTGTTCATTGTAATAGTACATTACGATACATGGCCCGAAAGTTGTATTTCCTGGCCTTCGTGCGATGACAATTCATCACAACCAGGCCAGTGAATATAACTTTCGGGCAAAGTGTCGTATACTATTTTTCTTGATCCCTGGCGGAAAGTACGCATACTCTTTCATATTATTTATGTTTGCGATGCGCTCGCTTGATCGTCTCACTGGCGTCACTCTATACCTAATCTGTCAACGTCAACTCATTAACTCTAATCTTTTGCGACCTGCGTCAGCGCACCCTCTTGGCTATTTTCATTACTTACCTCTATCTTACTAGAGTGATAGGCGTTTGGCGTGCACCCCACTTATTTCCAGTTTTCTGTCGCTCTCTCATTTTTTGGCCGGTTTCGCTAAGGTGTTTGTGCAAACGGCTGCCCGATTTTACTGATCGGGGCGGCCAATAAATCTAATAATCTAAATTAAAATTTTCTCTGCCTGCCACTTTTTAAAATTAGTATAAACTAATTTGTACCTTTCGCTGGATTTATTTGGTAATGTACCATCTTGCACGATTAATTTCGCTTCTTGATCGAAATTATTTAAAATTTCGTCTTCAACTAAAACACCATCAGATGAAAACGAATTATTCATTTTAGCTTCACTGTGATCAGCACTTAGTAAAATACTGTGTGCACTAACTGGGTTTTCCCGAAAATGTGGAAAAGACGCAACGTTCCCTTCTAGACAAATTTGGGCATTAGCCGCTAAGCGAATAAAATCTCACAGTTAGTCAGAGGGTAGGACTGAGTTTTCTCGACCAATAAGAGAAGCTCGCTCGCCACAGCGGCCATAAAAGCCGCTCTTCCCGGATCAAAATCAGGCCAGGAAATCGTACTTTCGGCCGGGGAATCAAGAAAAAATTCTTTAAGTCATAATAATTTCTTTTAACTTTTCTAACATATACTATTAGACATTTGAATAATTATTAATATATAATACATTTTATTATTTGTTATAATAAACTTTTTAATATCGTCATGCAAAAAGAACTATAGTCACAGTAGAAATCAACAAAAATTTCATAAATTTTATAATAATTCGGTATATATCCCATTATTACTATATTAAATATTACTATAACTATGAAATATATTATTATAGCAACTCCCTCACAGTCAAGAAAGTGATATAATATTAGATATTACATTACGCTCATGCGCAATTTAAAAGAGAAAACCAGAGTAAACAAGACACTATATCATGAAAATTTAACATTTTCAGTTATTTTATTCGAGCTGTTCATCAAAACATTAAAAACATTAGTTGAAATGCAATGAAAACTTATCTTTGTAGTAAAAAATGAACGCTATTTAAGCAATGGAAAAAAACTGTGTATAATCGCAGCTACAATTGCTTTAGTAGCAATTGTGCTTTGGCTTTGGATTTTTCCAGTTTAGATTATTTGCAGCAACGCATAACTATTTTCCATAAAAATGATGAGTGTCTTGTACTTTGTATACTGCTTCATTATTTTTTGTAAGTGAAGAAAGATTTTGAAATTCTGCTAATTAATCTTATAACATCTTATTTGTATGATCGCCAGATAATAAGCTAGTCTTATCCAATGGTAAACCGTTCATAGGATATAACGTGGAACGAGCTCCAGATCATCAGTTCGAATTCGTAGTTTCAATCAGTACAAAGTTTCCTCGAGGTTTATATCAAGAAGACAATCACGTTTGTGGAGGAGCACTAATAACTACAAGACATGTTCTAACATCAGCACACTGCAAATGTGCAGCATATGGTCAACTTAATGATTACAGTGTAAAAGTAGGACATGATTTAAGATATCCGAAAGCTAATTACAATATTGCGTCCTGGAAAAACTTAAAAAGGTGTTGTTGCCCTTTGTTCAAACGAGAAAATACATGCAATGACATAGCTGTAGTTAAGGTAAGTCATCATATAAATCTTAAATATCTGATTCTTATATACGTTAAACGGTTCTTCGATAGCTAACAGAAGACATATATTCGAAAATATCTAGAGAAATAATATTACCAGTTCTAAACTATTCACCAATTGATCAACTGTACAACAAAAATGTCTCCACTGTTGGCTGGGGCCAACAAAATAATTTATTAAATTCACGATTCATGAAGAAGGTATCGATGAGAACAATAACTAGAGAAGAGTGCCAGAAGAATATTGTCGACGTGCCAAGAGCCACGGAATTAAAAATACGGATAACATATATTGTTCAAGACGATGTTTTTTGTAGTAATGGCAACCCAGTACCCGGAAGGATACCTTACATAACACTAGGGCATGTTAGTCGTAGATCATATCTATAACATTGCAATTATAAAAAAGAATGAATTCGGATAATAATCTACTCCTATGTGTTCCTTTCAGGGCGACAGCGGTAGTCCTGATATGAATGAGAACAATGAGATAATTGGTATTAATAAAGGTAGTGTTCCAGATTTCGGTCCTGATTATCATGCATACGAGCAAACACTGAACATCGCTCTATCGCCTCATCAGACATTCATAGAAAATGAATTAACAGAGAGAGGATGCATAGGATGTTTCGGATAAACGTTAATTTTTATACGTATTAAAGAAACGTTAAAAGTGTATATTGCTATAAATAAACTGGAGTACTTCCAAAGATACTTAATGTTCTTAGAAGTGGAATTTTTATCAACAAGTGCAGAACAATCAAGAAATGTAAATAATTGGTTTAAATAATATAGATTATTTTGCACGTAATGTTACAACGACCTGTAGTTCCCTTTTTCAAAAAGTGGCTGAATGTTGTAAAGCACTTAGTGCACGCCCAGTAGGTTAACGTTTTTTTTTATTATTTACGTTTATAATTTTAAATGAAGATAGGTTGTATTTAGTACTACATACGAACAACTATACGAAGATCTTTAAAAAAGATTCGAGGCGACCACAGCTCGATAAAAAATTAATGCAAAATCTCTTTTTATCTCTTCCTCATATTTATATACACAACTAATGCGTAACAGGAATTAAAATTGTTTCCTTAGATATATTAATGCAGTATTCCTACGCCCGAACTAATAATCTGTTATGCATATCATTTAGTAGTACATTGAACAATGTGTCGCTGCGGTTCGATATCCTTCACGATTACTCTTGCTGGGATACAAGTCTGCTCGAATAGTAATTTTGGCGAATATCCAAAATGAATTGATCAACTAAAAAACAAGGTATCATATTTCTTGCGTGCATTTCCTAAGGCGATGATAAAGGCGGTGCGTTAAAATTAAAATTAAAGCTAATTAAGCTGTTAAAAATTAAAGTTAATACATTTAAATATTCAATAACTCGAGTATTTTCCAGGATTAGCGGGTTTTGTCGTAAATTTTCTAGAACTATGGCATATTTCATTATAGTAATTCTCTCAATGTAAATAGAAAGCTATTATTAGATTTTACGCAAAAAACCGATTCAAGAGAGAAAATCAAAATAAAAAAATACGATAATCTTCATAAATATTCCATTTCTTGAGATATCTGACTTGTTCTTCTTGAAATACATTGAAAATGGTTTTTCTTCAAACGCAATGAAAATTTATCGTTGCAGTAAATTGGCCGTCGTTTAGTTGCCGGAAAAAAAACTACGTTCAAACTCATCAACAATACCTTAAGTAAAAATTGTGCTTGGGAATTTGAATTTTTCTATTTTCTATAAAAATGATGAGTGCCTTGTACTTCGTATACTGCGTCGTTATTTTTTGTAAGTGAAGAAAGATTTTGAAATTCTGCTAATTAATATTTTAACATTTTATTTGTATGATCGCCAGATAATAAGGTAGCATTATCGAATGGTAAACCGTTGATGGGGTATAACGTGGAACGAGCTCCAGCTCACCAGTTCGATTTCGTAGTCTCAATCAGTACAAAGTTTCCTCGAGGTTTATATCAAGAAGACAATCACGTTTGTGGAGGAGCACTAATAACTACAATACATGTTCTAACATCAGCACACTGCAAATGTGCAGCATCTGGTCAACTTAAGGATTACAGTGTAAAAGTAGGACATGATTTAAGATATCCGGAAGCTAATTACAGTATTGCGTCCTGGAAAAACTTAAAAAGGTGTTGTTGCCCTTTGTTTAAACGAGAAAATGCATGCAATGACATAGCTGTAGTTAAGGTAAGTCATCATATAAATCTTAAATATCTGATTCTTATATACGTTAAATGGTTCTTCGTTAGCTAACAGAAGACATATATTCGAAAATATCTAGAGAAATAGTATTACCGGTACTAAACTATTCACCAATCGATCAACTATACAACAGAAATGTCTCCAATGTTGGCTGGGGCAAACAAAATCATTTATTATATTCACGATTCATGCAGAAGGTAACGATGAGAACAATAACTAGAGAAGAGTGCCAGAGGAATATTGACGACGTGCCGAGAGCCACGGGATTACAAATACAGATATCATATATTGTTGACGACGATGTTTTTTGTAGTAATGCCAACCCAGTGCCCGGAAGGGTGCCTTACGTAACACTCGGGGATGTTAGTCGTAGATCATATCTAATATAATATTGCAATTATAAAAAATAATGAATACGGATAATAATCTACTCTTATACGTTCCTTTCAGGGTGACAGCGGTAGTCCTGTTATAATTGAGAACAATGAGATAATTGGTATTAATAGAGGTAGTGTTCCAGATTTGGGCCCTGATTATTATGCATACGAGCAAGTACTGCACATCGCTCTATCGCCTCATCAGACATTCATAGAAAATGAATTAACAGAGAGAGGATGCATAGGATGTTTCGGATAAACGTTAATTTTTATACGTATTAAAGAAACGTTAAAAGTGTATATTGCTATAAATAAACTGGAGTACTTCCAAAGATACTTAATGTTCTTAGAAGTGGAATTTTTATCAACAAGTGCAGAACAATCAAGAAATGTAAATAATTGGTTTAAATAATATAGATTATTTTGCACGTAATGTTACAACGACCTGTAGTTCCCTTTTTCAAAAAGTGGCTGAATGTTGTAAAGCACTTAGTGCACGCCCAGTAGGTTAACGTTTTTTTTTATTATTTACGTTTATAATTTTAAATGAAGATAGGTTGTATTTAGTACTACATACGAACAACTATACGAAGATCTTTAAAAAAGATTCGAGGCGACCACAGCTCGATAAAAAATTATATTAATGCAAAATCTCTTTTTATCTCTTCCTCATATTTATATACACAACTAATGCGTAACAGGAATTAAAATTGTTTCCTTAGATATATTAATGCAGTATTCCTACGCCCGAACTAATAATCTGTTATGCATATCATTTAGTAGTACATTGAACAATGTGTCGCTGCGGTTCGATATCCTTCACGATTACTCTTGCTGGGATACAAGTCTGCTCGAATAGTAATTTTGGCGAATATCCAAAATGAATTGATCAACTAAAAAACAAGGTATCATATTTCTTGCGTGCATTTCCTAAGGCGATGATAGAGGCGGTGTGTTAAAATTAAAATTAAAGCTAATTAAGCTGTTAAAAATTAAAGTTAACAGCAAAAACAACGACAGAGTCGTTACAAGCGAGATCATGGAGTATATCTTCGACAATGCATGCAACGAAACTCTCCGCTCCGTCGTAATTGCAATATTTACAGAAAGACGTCGACGTGACGATCCGTATGTGCCGGTCATTATTGCGTCGTAATGCCATTGCCGGTGAAAATATCGGTCTCGATAAAAGTGTCCCCAACGTCTGGATGATTTTTTCAATTGAGAAACGAAACATTGATGCAACATGCCTAAAGTTGTCAAAGTTAAAGGTATGCAATAGAAGAGCTCGGAAGATTTCTACGAGCGCTGATTTTTCAGTTTTCCTATCGTTTCCAATGTTACGCGACAGTGTCGTTGCTTTTGAGAGCTCGCACAGTAATTTTATCGCCATCTTGGGCTGATTCCACGAGTAATCTTTGTGCCGCTTAACCGGGCGGATGACAATGACTTTTTCGGCATGCCGATAGCAAGTGCTACAAGACTTCAAGTTAAGTGTAGTTGAAAAAACAATGACGTAGTTGAACGATGTTATGGGCAATGTCACTCCGACAGTTAAAACTTATCGTTGTGGACTCTCTCTTTAGCATCTATTCATGGATACTTTGTGGGTTAATCATAATTTTACGACTCACACGATTTACGATTTTAAGCTGGTTTTTCTCTGTTTTAATAGATCTGGAATTGGAAAATATTGGGCAAGAAAAAATGTTCCATTAAATAGCTTGAAGGTAATTAAATTATAATAACAGGATATTACAATATGTGAATTTATAATAGCATGCGTAGTATTATTATAAATATTCAATAACTCGAGTATTTTCCAGGATTAGCGGGTTTTGTCGTAAATTTTCTAGAACTATGGCATATTTTATTGTAGTAATTCTCTCAATGTAAATAGAAAGCTATTATTAGATTTTACGCAAAAAACCGATTCAAGAGAGAAAATCAAAATAAAAAAATACGATAATCTTCAAAAATATTCCATTTCTAGAGATATCTACCTTGTTCTTGAAATACATTGCAAATGTTCTTTCTCCAAACGCAATAAAAATTTATCGTTGCAATAAATTGAACGTCGTTTAGTTGGCGGGGAAAAAACTATGTTCAAACTCATCAACAATACCTTAAGTAGAAATTACGCTTCAGCTTTGGATTTTTCGAGTTTACTTTATTTAAAGTGACGTCGGATTATTTTCTATAAAAATGATGAATAGACTATATTTCATGTATTGCTTTGCTATTTTGAGTAAGTTAAAAAATATTTTAAATTATGCTAATTAATTTTATAACTTCATATTTATCTGATCTTTAGATAGTAAACTAGTATTCTCGAATGGTAATCCGTTCATGGGATATAACGTGCAACAAGCCGAAGTTCATGAATTCGATTTCGTCGTTTCGATTAGTATCAAAAGATATGCAAGTTTGGTGTTAGAAGAAGACTATCATATTTGTGGTGGAGTTCTAATAACTACTAGATATGTTATAACATCAGCACATTGCAAATGTGAAGGATCTGGCGAACTTGAGGATTACACTGTTAAAGTTGGACATGATTTACGGAATTGGGAAGCTAATTACAGTATTATGTCCTGGAAAAATTTTAAAAGATGCTGTTGTCCTTTGTACAAACGAGAAAACACATGCAATGATATAGCTGTACTCAAGGTATGATAAAGACATGATCTGAATATTCAATATCTGATTCTTATATACATGTAAATGACGTTCGAAAGCTAGCAAAAGACATACGTTCGAAAATAACTAGAAATATAGAATTACCAGCAATAAACTATTCACCAATCGATCAACTGTATAACAAAAATGCTACGTCTGCTGATTGGGGTAATGTAAATTCTATGTTACATCCACGATACATGCAGAAAGTAACAATGACAACAATAAGTATGCAGGAGTGTCTGAGGAATATAAATCAGGCGCATAGAATCGCGGAATTAAACAATGATTTACCGAAAAACTATGTTCTGGAAAGTAATATTCTTTGTAGTAATGGCAACCGGGTACCCGGAGTGATACCTTACACTATACTCGGAGACGTTAGTCATAGATCATTTCTGTAACATTAAAATTATGAAAAAGAATGAATATGTACTACTGAACGTTTCTTTCAGGGTGACAGTGGTGGTCCTCTTATCATCGGAAAAAATCAGATAATCGCTATTAATCTAGGTAGTTTTCCAGTAATAGGTCCTGATTATCGTACATACGAGCAAACAATGCATGTTGCTCTTTCGGTTCATCGGGAATTCATTGAAAATCAAATTAGAAATAAAGGATGGATTGGATGTTTGGGAAAAAATTAAATATTTATACGTTTAAAAAAATTGTACAACTGAATATTTCTAGAAGTAAAACTCGGATATTTACAAGGAGAAAAATATTTGATTTTGTTAGAAGTGGTACTTTTATCAGCAGGTGAAGAAAAACCATAAAGTGGCAAGAATTTATTTAAATATTTCAAATGTTTTTGCTTATAACGTACTAACAAACTGTAGTTCAAGTAAGATTTAACGTAGTTTAGTGTTGAGTATCAAAATATATTTACCCTGTCGGATTTACCATGTACTCCAGTTGAATTGGCGTTTCCACATTGTAATATACAACTTATGTATACGATACCTTTGGACCAATAACTTTCAAATGAACGCTAGGAGAGCGCATTACTTTATTTGTTGATTTTTAATGCAAAGTAAAAATTAAAAAATTAAAAAATTAAAACATTCGAAGATTCATTTTGAAGATTTTACAACGTGAGCATTGCGATACTAACTGAATCGCAATGATAAATCCTTAATAATGAAACATCCACCAAAAGTAGGCTAAAGGGAGACAGATAGATTTTCATTCAGTAGGTTAAAAAAAATAGGAAATCTTAACTAAGTTCACGAGACCTCGATCGGTTTTGAAACATCCTGGCCCTTAAACTAACACTTGTTAGATAGTGTCTAAAACACCATCTCCCAATCGCATATGATCTGTTCAATTTTTAGACTACGAAGCTGAACCTTTTCATTTCACGTTTCCGATATTATGATGAGGCAGGTCTAGTCTATACTTACTCGGTGATTGGGTGGGATGTAATATATCGAGTGACGACTTCATAAAATTTCAATCGAACGTATTACGGGTAAGTTTGTTTGATTCTTTAATCTACGTTCTCGCTCTCTTACATTGCCAATGTAGTTTTATAGAGTTTATTGAAAAGTGATTTTTGACACTCAGACCGAAAATTTATATTATCAGAAAAAATTTAATTTTACACACTTCTTTATAGTACAGCTTTAAAAAACTTAAAATCACCTTTTGTAGATTAGTCTTTTATAATATTTTACAAACACCTGAGAACTTTCAGATAAGCTCGCAGCTCTTCTTATAGTAACATAATCAACATCATTTTCCACGGCAGATGAAGTAGACGTGTGATATGTAGAGTGTATCACAAAACTGATAGATCGATCCTACTATTTCGTAATCATTTTTAACCTTCTTATTGATTGTAATTAAACTAATAATATGAATTGGTTTTATGATTTATAAAATAAATTCATGAATTTCATCTCCGAATTTTTCAGTCTCTTTTATGTAATCAAAAATAGATGAAACCACAAAGATTCGGTTTCTCTTTAAAATGTGTTAACCATAATACTAACTAATACTGGCCTAGCCCCCAAGTTTTTATTACATCCGGAACATTTTTGTTTTCCAGTCCATCACAGACTTATGTTACTTAATTTAACTTTGGAAAGAGTTTGCGCTCATTGAACAGAACATAATGCTAGGTGAGACGGCAGTCTTCAAAAAGAGAGTTAGCGAGAGATGTGAGCAAACACTTGGTTAGTACTTGTTAGAACCTGAGAAGTACTGACCATGAAAATGCGCTAAGCCTCCAACGTCCCTAATACCTTAAGTAGAAATTGTGCTTCGGATTTCAATTTTTCGAGTTTAGATTATTTGCAGCAACGCAGAATACAATGAAATAATAATTAAATTAGAAATCGAACACGATATGGCTAATTTCAAAGCAATGTTTTCTTATCAGAGTAGTCTACTATTGAAAACACAGATAGTAAAAGTTACCGTTTTTGTTTAACGGCATTTTTTACGTTCTTTTTTGTATAAACTAAATTTTATTAATTTTCTTTATGAGTGTGTGAGTGTGTGCGTACGTATATACAACAAAAACGCATTTAAAAAAATTTCAAATATAACTTATTTAATAGATTTAGTGAAAAATAATAATAATTCAAAGTTTCACATATTTATAATCAAAATTATAGAAGAATTTTGGAAATAAATTGTTAACAATCTAATGTACAAAAAGTAATTTTATTGCAATTTAATGTTTTATCTGACAATTCTAATATTCGCACACAGCTCTGCAAAGTGTTTTGGCATACTCAGGCTGATTTCTATGAACTTTGTATCTTTCCCAAGTTTTTTAAAAACTTGTATGGACTGACTCGATTGCCTGCTTACTAAAATATTCAAGTCCTAGTTGCACTTTTGAACAAAATGGAGAAATATAGTGAAATACTGAATATATTTTTGTAGTAATACTAATGCTTAAATCTAAAGAATTGTTACGAAAATTGCTATAACAATTATTCCAACAATTATAACAATTTTGTAGATTAGATAGCTAATAATTTATTTCCAAAATCTTTCTACAATTTCAATTATAAAAATGTGAAACATTTATAAATCTGTTCCGAATGTAAAGTAGCGGTATCTCGATTTTAGTTAATAATGAAGCGTTATTATTAATTAAAAATGTAATCAACCCGCTTCACTCATCAATATCACGAAGATGATTGTTTCCTTTGCGTAATAAAGATTGACTAAAAGCCAAGTTCCGGTGAAAAGGAAAACAGAAAGTTTAATCAATGGTTCAAAATGAACATGTATATTGTACAAATCATCTATTCATCACTCCGCATATTCACCTTTTATATATAGTTCATATATAAACCACACCTATTGTATATTTTATCATAACAATACTCTCAGTATAATGAAACAGCTATTATTAGACGTTACGTTCCATTTATAAGCAATTCAAGAGAGAAAATCAAAGTAAAAAAGACACTTTAATCTTAAAAAATATTTAAGCTTTCGAAATATTAGACTTGAGTTATTCTTAAAAACATTAAAAAGTGTTGCTTTTCGAATGCACTAAAAGTTTATCGTGTTAGTAAAATGAACGCCGTTTAGTCGGTATGTAAAAAGCTGTGTACAAGTGCATCCACAAATAACCGAGGAGAAATTGCGCTTCAACTTTGGATTTTTCAAGTTTAGTTTATTTGCAGCGACGCAGTCATTTTCCATAAAAACAATGAATGCGCTCTACTTTGTCTATTGCTTTGTTATTTTGAGTAAGTGGGCAAAGTTATTTTATTTATTTTATTTTGTTTTACAACATCTCACTTGTATGATTGTCAGATAGTAAACTAATATCCTTGAATGGTAATCCGTTCATTGGATACAACGTGAAACAAGCTGAACCTCATGAGTTTGATTTCATAGTATCAATAAGTATAAAAAATTATGCAAATACATCGATAGAAGAAGACTATCACATTTGTGGTGGAGCACTAATAACTACAAGACATATTCTAACCTCAGAACATTGCAAATGTGACGGATCTGTCGAAATTGAGGATTACACTGTTAAAATAGGACATGATTTACGGAATTGGGAAGCCAATTTTAGTATTGAATCATGGAAAAGTTTCAAAAAGTGTTGTTGCCCTTTGTTCAGACGAGAAACCACATGCAACGATATAGCTGTACTCAAGGTAAGATGAATTCATAATATAAATCTTGAACATCTGATTTTTATATGGATTAAAATGATGCTCGATAGCTAACAGAAGACATACGGTCGAAAATAATTAGAGAAATAGAATTACCAGTACTAAACTATTCACCAATTGATCAACTATACTACAAAAATGCCTCAACTGCTGGCTGGGGTAACGTAAATTCTACGTTACGTCCACGATACATGCAGAAAGTAGTAATGAAAACAATAAGTAAGGAAGAGTGTCTGAGGAATATTAATGAGGCGCCGAGAATCATAGAATCAGAGAAAGAATTACGAAAAAACTATATTCTGGAAAGTAATATTCTTTGTAGTAATGGCAACCCGGTACCCGGAGTGGTGCCGTACACAGTACTCGGAGACGTTAGTAATAGATCATTTCTGTATTATTGAAATCACGAAAAATAATTAATGTATATAACCACTTCTGTACATTACTTTCAGGGCGACAGCGGTAGTCCTCTTATAATTGGTAAAAATCAGATAATTGGTATTAACCAAGCTAATTCTCCAGACTACGGTCCAGAATATCAGGCATTCGATCAAATATTGCATGTTGCTCTTTATGCTCATCGAAAATTCATTGAAAATCAAATAAAAGAGACAAGAACATTTAATTGCTCTGAAACCTAGAGAATTTTTATGCGTTTTAAAAAATTGTTATAACTGTACATTTGTATGTGCGAATCATAATATTTTACAAACACCTGAGAACTTTCAGATAAACCAGCAGCTCCACTTATTGTAACATAATCAACATCATTTTCCACGGCAGACGACGTAGACGTGTGATATGTAGCGTGTATCCAAAAAGCTGGTAGATCGATCCTACTATTTCGGAAACATTTTTAACCCTCTTAATGATTGTAATGAAACTAATAGTATGAATCGGTTTTATGATTTATAAAATAAATTGATGAATTTCACCTTCGAATTTTTCAGTCTCTTTTATGTAATCAAAAATAGATGAAACCACAAAGATTCGGTTTCTCTTTAAAATGTGTTAACCATAATACTAACTAATACCGGCCTAGCCCCGAAGTTTTATTACATACGGAACATTTTTTTTCAAGTCCATCAAAGACTTATGTTACTTAATTTAACTTTCGAAAGAGTTTGTGCTCTTTGAACAGAACATAATGCTAGGTGAGACGGCGGTCTGCAGCTTAGAATTATTTATGTATAAGATTAAAACAGAGAAGAAAGAAATTGTGAAATAAAGTACAGGAGAGAGAGAGAAAGAGAGAGAGAGAGTGAGAGAGAAATACAGAGTTAGCGAGAGATGTGAGCAAACACATGGTTAGTACTTCTTGGAACCTCAGAAGTACTAACCATGAAAATGCGCTAAGCCTCCAACGTCCCTAAGCTATATCGTTGCCAGGACGTCACACTAAAATGCCTAGATTTTTAAGCATTAATACATACATTTTTTTAAGTAAACTAGGATCATCGCCACGTCTCGTGTACTAGAATACCTTTGTTTCTAAAGTTTGAATATCCAAAATTCTTTCATGAATCTAACTGCATTTGCATGACTACCTATTGTTTCTTTGATAAAGAGAGATATATATGAATGAATATTATGAAATTAAAAATTTACGATTGCCACTGCATACACGCTACGGACTTCAATTCGACTGCAGTAATTTGTACTATGTTTATAGTGAAAATAGTTTGAATCATAATAATTTTTACTAGCTATTCCAACATATATTTTTAGATATTAGATTTATTATATATATTAAATTATTTAGATAATACTCATAAAGTAACACTATTGTTTCTTACAACGAATTTTTAATATCGCTATATAAAAATAATAGCATACATAGTAGAAATCAATAAATTTTATAACAACTCGAATACATTCCAAGATTTCTGTTTTGCAGTAAATTTTACTACAACTATGGTATATTTTGTTATACATATTTCCTCAGTGTAAAGAGAGGGCTATTATGAGATGTTATATTACGCTTATAAGCGATTAAAAAAAATTAAATAAAAATGGCATTATAATCTTCCAAAATATTCAAATTTTAGATATATTACTTATTATTCTAAAAATATTGAACATTACTTTTTTTCTAATGATATAAAAAACTTATCGTGGTAGTTAAATGAACGCCGTTCAGGCGACGAGTATAAAACTATGTTCAAACGCGTCCACAATTACTCGTTTAGAAATCGCACTATAGTTTTGGATTTTTCAAGTTTATTTTATTTGCAGCGACGCATAGTTATTTTCCATAAAAATGAAGTGTGTGCTCTACATTGTATATTGTTTTGCTATTTTGAGTAAGATAAAAAAATTAATAAGATAAAAGAATGTAACGTTTTGCTAAATAATTGTAATAACATCTTACTAATCTGATCATCAGAGAGTATATTAGTACTTTCGAATGGTAATCCGTTCATAGGATACAACGTAAAACAAGCTGAATCTTATGAGTTTGATTTCATAGTATCAATAAGTAGAAAAAATTATGCAAAAATGTCGTTAGAAGAAGACTATCACATTTGTGGTGGAGCACTAATAACTACAACACATGTTCTAACATCAGCACATTGCGAATGTGAAGGATCTGTCGATCTTGAGGATTATACTGTTAAAGTAGGGCATGATTTACGAAATCCGGAAGCTAATTTCAGTATTTCAACCTGGAATAGCTATCAAAAGTGTTGTTGCTCTTTGTTCAGACGTGGGAACATGTGCAATGACATATCTGTAATCACGGTAAGATAAAGTCTTAATATAAATCTGGAATATCTGCTTCTTATATACATTAAAATGTTATTCGATAGCTATTCGATGACATATATTCCAAAATAACTAGGGAAATAGTATTACCAGTACTAAACTATTCGCCGATCGAGCAACTATACAACAAAAACGCCACGTCTGCCGGCTGGGGTGATGGAATTAATATGTTACATCCGCGATACATGCTAAAAGTAACGATGAGAACAATAAGTAAAGAAGAGTGTCAGAGGAATATTGATATGGCACCAATAGTCGTGGGAGTAAATGATAAATATCGATCTAAGAGAAAACGCATTATTAAAAATAATACTCTTTGTAGTAATGGTAATCCAGTACCTGGAGTGATACCCTATACAACACTTGGAGGCGTTAGTCATAGAACAATTTTGTAATATTGAAATTTTAAAAAAGAACCAGTACGAACAAATACGTTATTTTCAGGGCGACAGCGGCAGCCCTCTTATGATTGGAAACAATGAGATAATTGCTATTAATACTGGGGTTTTTCCACCGGAAAGTCCTGAATATTATGCATACCAGCAATCATTGCATGTTACGTTCTTGGCTCACCGGGAATTCATTGAACGCCAATTAAAAAATGCAAACGAGATTGGATGTTTTGGAAGAAAATAAATTTTTAGTTATTTTCAAGATTTGTTTCAACCATATACTCTTAGAAGTTAAACTCAAATACTAGCAGAAGGATACTGTATGTTGAAAGCAAATTATGATAAATTGGGAAAAGTAAATAATTTGTATGAATTTTCTTGTAATATTACAACAGCCCGTAAAGCTAAAATTTAACGTCGATTACCGACAAGCAACAAGTAGTAGATTACGTACCCAAGCCGGGAAAGTATTTAATTTGCCAGCCCACAACACGTGTTTGACAACTTCGAGTTTGCCTTGGTTGTCAATTATCACTTGCTAAGGAAGTTACCAGTACATTTCCGACCTAAGTACGTTATCTACTATTTGCTTCATACTCTTGTCGAAAGATCGAGTTTTCTTCCGTCGTACATTTGCCGATAGTTGATGTTTCTTCTTAATCCGCTATCTAGCCAGCAGGGAATGTCTACTTCCCAATTGATCTTCCAACCATATTTCTATATCTATGTACAGCACCATTTTCTAACCTTATTGTGGCTGTAGTTGGAGTGTTCTTGGAATATGATAGCGCATCATTTGTGTAATATTATCCTTTTCACAAATTGACTAGGACCATGTATATTATTGATTTTAAATCAAATTTTCATCAAACTCACCAATTAACACCTAGCTGTTATCAACGAAATAGTAACAGGATGAAGAAATCATGATTTTAATATAATAATTTCATTGCTGCTACTACAATTAATATTATTACGAAATGATTTTTATAAAAAGTCCCTATTTAAAGTGAAAGTTTGAATTAAAAAAAAATTCTCGTTTGTACGTATGTTATTGATTCTAGCTGTTAAACGAAACAGTGATACGATAAAAAAATAAAGAAATATGATAATAATAGAAAAATAATCTCGTTCGTGTAGGAGTTGTGGGGTACCACTGGCCAGCGCTCCGCCCGTGGTCACGCGCCATTTCCTCCGAGACTCGACAACTCCTATACGCGTTCAAAGATGACGCATAAGCTAATCGGCCGACACGCTGCCGCCAGTTGAGACATCGACTTATTCAGTATTTTTCTAGTTTTCCAAATTAATAAATTCTACGAATTTTCAATACAAGCCATTTCAATAGAAAACATAATTTCTAATCTTCTTTAAATCTCTGATCAAAGAAAAAATTTCGTGTAAAAGAGAGACTCTCCTCACACATTTTACATCATTTCGATGGTTTATCCGTTACGAAATACACACTATGTGACTTTTAAGATCGAACCGAATTAATATTTTATGTATTATTGTTTAAAATCCACTTTAAAAGAAATAATATGCTACAAAGTGTAAAAGTATATTATAATAATTATTACATATTTTCATATAAAAAAGTGATTGTAACTGTAGTAGAATTTAACAAAAGTTTGATGAATTTTATAATAATTCTGGTATAGCCCATGACTGCTATGTTAATGCAACTATGACGTATTTTATTATAGCAATTCTCTCAGTGGTAAAGAGATATTAAATGTTACGTTCCATTTATAACCGATTCAAGACAGAAAACCAGAGTACAAAAGACATAATATTCAAAAATATTTAACTTTTCAAGATATTTGACTCCAGTTATTCTAAAAACATTAAAAAATATTGCTTTTCAAATGCAATAAAAACTTATCGTGGTAGTAAAATGATCGTCGTATAGTCGGTGTATAAAAAACTATGTAAATGGTCGTCCACAATTATGTGAGTAGAAATTGCGCTTCATGATTTTTCAAATTCAAATTATTTGCAGTGACACATAATTATTTTCCATAAAAACGATGAACGTGCTCTACTTTGTGTATTGCTTTGCTATTTTGAGTAAGTTGACAAAGATATTCAAATTATTCCATTTAAATGTACAATATCTTACTTATCGGATCGTCAGATAGCAAATCAATATTTTCGAATGCTAATCCACTCATGGGATACAACATCGAATATGTCGAAGCTCGTGAGTTGGATTTCATAGTCTCAATAAGTAAGAAATATCATCCAGGTTCCTACGAAGAAGACAGTCACATTTGTGGTGGAGTGCTGATAACTACTAGACATGTTATAACATCAGCACATTGCAAATGTGAACGAGCTGTTGAACTTGATTATTACACCGTTAAAATTGGACATGATTTACGAAATCCGAAAGCTAATTACAGTATTGAATCATGGATAAACTTCAAAAAATGTTGTTGCCCTTTGTTCAAACGACAAAATATATGCAATGATATAGCTGTACTTAGGGTAACGTAAAGTCGCCATATAATTTTTAAATATCTTATTCTTATACAGACTGAAATTTTATTTGCTAGTTATCAGAAGATATACGTTCGAAACTAACTAGAGAAATAGAATTCCCAGTACTAAATTATTCACCAATCGATCAATTTTACCATAAAACTGTTTTGACTGCTGGCTGGGGTATCGTAAATTCTTTGGTTCATCCACGAATGATGCAGAAAACAGTGATGAGAACAATAACTAAGGAAGAGTGTCAGAGGAACATTGACAATGCTCCAAAAGTCCCGAATTCAAATGGACGCACACGGGAGAGATATATTGTGAAAAGTCATGTCCTTTGTAGTAATGGTAACCCAATACCCGGAAGAATACCCTACACATCGCTTGGAAGCGTTAGTCGCCGATTTGTTTTGTAACATTGAAATTATAAAAAAGAATCAATATGGATAAGTTCTCATCTATGTTACTTTCAGGGCGACAGCGGCAGTCCTCTTATCTTCAGAAACAATCAGATAATTGCTATTAACCAAGCTAGTGTTCCAGTGGAAGGTGCTCCTTACGTTGCGTATGAGCAAACAGTGCATGTTGTTCTTAAACCTTATCGGAGATTCATTGAAAATCAATTAGCAGAGAGAAGAAACGGTGGATGTTTCGGAACAAACTAAATTTTTATGCGTTTTCAAGAATTATTACAAGTGTATATTTGTAAAATTTTAACTTGAACGAGGAGTTGATGTTGGTAAAAGTTATAATTTTGTCAACACGCAGAGAAAACAAAACAAGAAAACGCAAAAATTTGCTTAAACAAACAAGTGGTTTTTCTTGTAACGTCACAACAACCTGTCGTAGAAGTAAAATTTAATGTAGATTAGCGGCGAGTGACAAAATATATATATCTTGTTCGAAAATTATTTGAGTAGAATAGGCATTTCCAGTTTAGAATATGTAATTTACAGGATGCCTTTCATACAATAACTTGATAATTAAAGTGGCAATGTGCATTACTTTCTCTCATAATGCTCTATGCAAAGTACAGATTATTTCTAAAAAATTAAGACGTTCATTTCGAAAATTTCGCGACGTGAGCATTGTGATACTAATTGAATCGATAAATCTTTGACAATGAAAAATTCACCAGAAGCAGACTTCATATAAAGAAGCTAGCGTTTATTATTGAATCATAAGTAAGCTGGGTGGAGTTTTTTTAACCATACGGTAGCCATTTTCAGATGGCTACCACATGGCTCACTCTGGTTTTTGGGATACGAAAGTCTGTCGCTCCGA